ATCTCTCCTTTCCATGTACAGTGGTACCTCGGGTTAAGTACTTAATTCGTTCTGGAGGTCCATTCTTAACCTGAAACTGTTCTTAACCTGAAGCACCACTTTAGCTAATGGGGCCTCCTGCCGCCGCCGCACCACCGGAGCACAATTTCTGTTCTCATCCTGAAGCAAAGTTCTTAACCTGAAGCACTATTTCTGGGTCAGCAGAGTCTGTAACCTGAAGCGTATGTAACCTGAAGCATATGTAACCTGAGGTACCACTGTATAGGAGTCAACCAGATTGAGGGCAGCAGGCTACCTTAAGAGGATCAGGGCAGGCGGTATGACATACAGCACACATCTCTCTCCTCTGCCACTTCACCACCATGCCTCATCCCCTAAAATCTGTCACCTCTCTCTGACCTAATTATAGAGGTGTGGGGTTGAGCAATTTGATCTTTTAAAGACAAGCCTAACCAATTTGCACTTTCCAAAACAATATGCAAAGCAAAGCACAGTCATCCTTTGACATTTGTACTTCTTCAAATTTTGCAATGCAGTTATCCAGCCAAGTTATGCTCAAAATGTTCAAAAATGCATATACAATGTATTTTCTCTGATGAAAATAGGGATGCCCTGAGGAAAAAGCGGGACATTCTGGGATCAAATCAGAAACCGATACGCCTTTTGTAAATTTGGGACAGTCCCTGGAAAACAGGGACACTAGCAGGGTCTGCATTCAAATCCACTGACTAGGCTGGACTTTGTGCCTTGAGGGAGAATGGTTTCTTCAACTTCATTCTCAGCTAGAACTTCCCTCCCTCTTCTTCATTCCTGCTTTCTCAAGGGAAGTTTTCACAGACTCGTCTCCATATACACGAGTCAGCCAATGTAAGCTTTGCCTCAGAAGGGAGTCACATCAAGGCCCTTTGAACTTGAATGCTGCGCTGCCATTTCAGCAGCTCTAATAACTGCAGTTATTCCACAGGGGTCAGACTGAGTCAGTGGCTTGTGGGGCGGGGAGAATTGCCAACCAGCAAATGTGGACATTTCTAGAGGGAAGAAGTTGATCTCTGGAAGGGCAGCAGAGGGTGGCTTCTTCTGAATCATCGAGGGAAGGAGGAGAGCCTGGAGGTGTCATGTTCTGCAACAGCCCCAAAACTACAGCGGTGCAGTAATGAGATTTTTTTTCCCACACAGAGAGAAAGGGATGCCTGAGGAAAGAGTTTCAATTATTTAGCTTTGCAGCAGAGGATTAAATGCTCGGAGCCAGTGTTCCTCAATTAATTCTAGGGTGGGCTAGCCAGTCTGCAACTCATAGGTGGGGCAGAAGGGACATCCATTAGGCAGACTCATACATCATATGTTTATATGGGATGCCAACTTATTCACCAGCCCCCGCTCCTCTCCCTTTACCAGCAACTTGATCCACAATCATAAGCATGTGATCTCCCTTCATGTAACCAGAAAGCTTTGCTGGTTGGCATTCTTTTTCTGTAGAAGAAGCTATCCTTAAAAGCACTGAAGAAGCCCAGGATGTTTTTCTCTTATCAGTTGGCAACTTCACTAGCCCTGGACTTCCTAAGTTGCAATATATTTTTTGATCTTTTTTCTCTCTCCTGGTTTCTGTGCGTTTAACAGAAGTCCTGCAAAATTAAGAAAGTTAAAGTTTTCCTTGCATGAAGATAAGGGACTGGGAAAGACTTTTGTTTGTTGCAGTTATATCCAACTTCTTCCTCTAAAGAGCTGAAGGTGACGTACATGGTTCATTTAATTCACACAACAACCCTTTGAGGTAGGCTGAGAGGTGATGAGCTTCATGGCCAAATGGGGAGTTGAACCCTGGTCTCTCAGGTCCTACACTCTAAGCACAACACCACCATACCCTCCAACATCCTGGGGACCAAAATTAGGATGCTTGTTTCTGATCCTGCGCTCTCACAAAATAAGCTTTTTTTGTCTTGCAATACCAAAAAATGACCATCTTTTGGTCTGGCGCTTTGGCAGGAACCAACTGACTCACACCAGAGCGAGTGTGAGCTCTGGCACAAGCCAGCTGACTCACGGCAGAACACCAGACCAAAAAATTGGATATTCTGGGTACCAATCGAAAGCCGGTAATGGTTTCTGTAATTCCAGGGTGTCCGGGATGGTTGAGTGGTATGCAGCACACTTGTCATGGAAGGCCCACAGGACACACTAGCCAAGAAGCTATGCAACTGACTTTATTCTGTCTCTCCAACAAGAATGAAACAGTAACAACCCTACCCAGGCACAACTGAGTCTAGTGCCACCTGTACAATAACACCACCACAGTTAGGTGTGAGGAACCTTTGGTCCTCCAAGAGTTGCTAAACTACAACCCCATCATCCCTAGCCTTTGGTCATGCTTGCTGGGGCTGGTGGGAGTTGAAGTTCAGCAGAACCTTGAGGGCCAAACGTTCCCCATACCTGAGTTAGTAGGTGATGGGAAAGACCTTTGTCTGAGCTGCTGAGGAGATGCTGCCAGTCAGAGTAGACAACACTGGAATAGAGGGTGAAACAGTCTGATCTGCTATAAACTGTCCAATTTGCACTTCCAAAACAAAATGCAAACCAAAACACATAAATGATCAATTGATGTACAACCACTGACAGAACCGAGGGCCAAATGGGGCAGGTTGCGCTTAGGCACACTCTGCCGATGCAGGGAGTGGGGAGGGTGCAGGAACAGAACCCTCACGCAATATGGTTGCTGCTGTATCAAAATGCATTACATTAGGGAACCAAAATCTTGTTTCACGGGGGCGGGATACTTGTATACCATAATGCCATTGAAAATCAAAGTGATTTAAAACACAAAATAAAAACCATGCAGAAATTTAAAATCTCAGATCATCAACTAACAATCACAGAAGATGCTGTCTGCAGAGGTTTAGTGGCACAGAAACATTTTCTGCAAACATTCAAAGGTTAAAATAGAAGGCACCTGCTGAATGGAGGCATTCCATGAGACTGGGCTGGTGACACTAAAGGCTCAGCATCATGTTGATGTAAAATGAGCCTACCAAGCTGGGATATAAGATAGAAATGTATATTAGGAGAAATTAACACTGAAGTGGTGAATGAATTTTCAAGAGCACTTGAAAAACAGCCACAGGAGGGGTTGTGATAAAGAACTACCCAGCAGAAACAAGTGCCCCTCTTGCCATCTCCTGAGTAAGCTCCAATTTGGTACCAGTAATCTCTTCACAAACTTGTTGATACTTGACATTTCAAGATCTTCCCCACCCGTTCATCACCAGAAGCCCAAGTACATAATGTGCATCATTCCATGAGGGACGTGGCTGAATAATTATTTTTAACAATGCAGACAAAGTTGACTTTTAAGATGTTAATTCCCTGACAGTAGCCGGGGAAATCCAAGCGAAGTGTCTCATGCCTAAGAAGCCTTATGGAGACTTGGCCGGGCTGCCAGATTGGAGAGCCAGAGAGAGAGAGAGAAAGAGAGACAGTAGAAATTAAAATGTATTGCTAATCTGTGGATCTTTTGTTTTTGGCAGTGTACAGACAAGACATAAAAATGATGGAAATGACATGTCTTTGGCATGATTTTGCCCAGCTTGCTACAGTAAATACTCATTTTCACTAAGCAGCAGAGAATGAAAGTAACTTTAAAACTTCAAAGTGGCATGATAGGGAAATATGGAGAACAATTATTCTCATTAACTCGACTTTTGAATCACATGAGATGATGGGAAAGATAGATGTTTTTAATTAGGAAAGCTAAGGAAAGCCACAAGGAAAAAAGCTTTTGCATCGCCTCTGAGTCAACATGTGTGTACATCAGTATGTGGGCATTTATAGAAAAGAGGGATGTGAACACTGAGCCAATGGAACTGAGTGGGCACCATAATAAGGCAGAGTCCTTCAGTTGCGAGAGCAGCAAAGTATTCTAGTCTTTGTGGGAAGGGATGCAGATTGGTGGTAGAGAACACGTTTTGCATGTTCAATTCCTGATGTTTTCAGGTAGGGCTTGGAGACACCCTTGCCTGAAATTCCAGAGAGCTGTTGCCAGTCAGTGATGAACCCATGCAGTGTCCTATATTCTCAAAGTTCCACACGGGGGTAGTCAATGTTGTGTCATCTGGATACTGGTGGACTACAACTCCCACTATGCTAATGGTCAGATATGATGCAAGTTGCAGTCCAACAACATCTGTTGGGAGCCGCCCAGAGTGGCTGGGGAAGCCAAGCCAGATGGGCAGGATATAAATAAATTATTATTATTATTATTATTATTATTATTATTATTATTATTATTCCATGATTTTGGCTTCCCCATTCTGAGAACCAGGAAACAGCTGCTTTTTTAAAGATTAATTTTTGAGAATTCTAAACCTGCCCACCATGATATCCCTTCTGATATTGATTGCAGGCCGAGGCAGGGTGATATCCATTGCTCTCACCTCAATGTAATAACCAGACAAGACAGCATATATATATATTGGGACAAATAGGGTGACAACTTTGCTGATTACAATTGTGATATAGGCATTGGATATGGAGTAACCACTGACCTCCAGCCTGCCTGCTGGAAGTGTTCCTTAGGGTCAACCTGGTACCAAGGAGAGTCCTATGAGCTACATCAAATAGGAACACTCCTCAATGGATCGTCATCTTGAGGAGTGGTATATCCTTAGCCCTCACCAGGGCGACTGGACAGAACTCCTCCCGGATCCTTTTAAAGAGATGCCTTCTCCCTTGGAGGAGCAGGCGGAGACTACAACCTCCCCTCCAACCAAGACTATGGATTACCCAATGCCTAACTGCCAAAAGTTGTGACACCAGACCAGAGCCAATTTGTCTGGTGGGAAATTCCTGCCCAGCCCCGAACACAGCAGCCAATAAAGTCCATGGCAAACTCAAGCACAAACAAGAAGTCTCATATACAAAGGAGAATAGGTGGGAGATCCTGTGATGAACTGGGTGGAGGAGCTGGCTCCGCCCTCTGGGAAAGGCTTGCCACTAAGCTTGCCTGTGATTGGTCAATTAGCAGGCAAGCTACAATTTGCAGCCCTGGCCCACAAAGTCCCTAGGCCTCTTGTGCTGACCAGGTGCCCCAGTGCATCGTCCAATTGCCAGAGTGTGACAGAAAGACATTGTATGGCCACAACACTGCCAGACCATTGAAGGTAAGCAGACTTATCTATTTATTCAAACCATCTTTCTGCTTCATCACTGAAATGTCCAAACAACACTGGTTAATGCCTTTTGAAAAACCAAATAAACAAATAAAACAGCAGATGACACACTTTTTAGAAGTCAGGAGATAAATAACAGATTAACTAATCATACCAAAGGACTGCTGAAGTTAGGCAGTCTTCACTGAGCATAAATGCTATCAACGAGTGTGCTAGGGGGATAGGAAACGGAATTTCATAGCCTGAGTACCAAAACAGAGAAAGCCTTCTTTTACCTATCCTCAGTTAACAGAATGACTTAAATGAAACAGATTTAATCCAGTAAGAAAATAAATTGATATACTTTACTGGGGTAAACTGAACAAAAACAGTATATAAATTGAGGAGAATATCATTTACAGGTCTAGTTGAAAGTGATGAGATATAATATTCAACCACAAAGCTGATAAGCCTCCTTCAGAAGTATTTATCCCTCCAACTCCTCCAACTGTCAAATCTCAACAGTCTTTCTATAACATGGACAGTTTACTCCCGAATGACTGTAACATCTAGCTAAGCAAAGTCTGGTGTTAGCCAGACCAATAACCACACTAACCCTTAATGATCCCTGATGTTGTTCAACTGCATTTCTGCCAGTAGTGAGACATGGAGCCAGGCCACTCCTGGCAACCTAAGTAGGTGAACACAGAATCATGCAGAAGGAACAGTCCTCAACTTATTTGAAGATGGTCCTTAAAGAACGCAGGCCTCAAGTCATTTGGACATTTAAAGGTTATAACCAACACCTTGAACTTGTCTGAGAAGAAGAACAGAAGCCAATGAAGTTGGTACAATTAAAACAAAAAACAGCCAGTACTCTAGCTTCTGCCATAGCTCAGAAAGTCCCTGGTTCAATCCTCGACATCTCCAGGTGGGGCTAGGAGTGTCTCCTGCCTGAGACCCTAGGGAGCTGCTGCCAGTTCAGTGTAGGCAATACTGAACCAGATGGACCAATGGTCTGATTCAGTATAATACATTTTCCGATATTCCTGTGAGGTTTCCAAACCCCTTTGAAAGACAGCTCCACACATTACAGTAATCAAGCCTTGACACAAAGCACGTGTGACTTCACCAGCCTAAAGTGAGCTACAGCACTCGTGGCTTGCAGGGTCCAAAAGCACACCCAGACTGCAAGCCTGAGCTGCAATGGAAAAAAGGGAGGCACTCTGAGACCATATGCGATTAACACAGAGCCAAGATGCCACATGGGGAGAGGTAAAACATTAGCCACTTTTATTTCCCTGCTTGCAAACTCTGACCTCCCTGCACAGCATCACCTACTAGCTCTTATGCTTATACTGCTAACCCCACAGGAATTGCCCACAAAGTGCTCGCACAATCGAAGTAAATAAAGTTACCAGCTCCCTTTGGGGAATGGAGGTGGGAAATAAGGAATGTCCCCTGCCTCCCAAAAAAAACTAGTTCCAAAAGTTCTGTTCCTTGGTTAAACTCAGCCTGAGCAAGATAAATACAGTGATGGATAACTAGCCATGTCTGTGTTATTCAATGCTTACACATGGTCTGAAACGTGAGCTGGCCAAGGGAAGACCCTTCCCCTGCAAAGTGGCGCAGGTAGGTAATTTTAGACTCATAATTTATGGTCTTGTGTGTACTCCTGCATTTGGGGGGCTGAGTGGGACCCTGGACCTCTGCCTCAGTGGCACCACCACCCCTGTAGGCTTTCCAGTGCTGCCACTTTCAATGAGGTGGTGAGATACTGATTTTGGGGCAGAGTCTGCCATGAGGGAAGGGCCATAGCTCACTGGGAGGGCATCTGCCTTGCATGCGGAAGGTCCCAAGTTCAGTCCCCACCACCTCCAGGTAGGGCCTGAAACCCTGGAGAGGTACTGCCTGCTGAGCAGGATAGACTAGTAGGTCTGATTTAGAATAAGGCAGATTCCTGTGTTCCAACACTGCTGCTTGTTTGTTTTGAAAAGCACTTTGAGGGCCCTATGGGACTGAACAGTAGCCCATACATTTGGTATGTGTTCTTATCATACTGAGGAGTATAATGGAGGCTTATTTTACCATTTCCACCCTCCTTTCAGTGGGCAGTTGTGTCTTATGCATAGACACTTCCTAGGAAAACCCAGAAATTATACCCTATAACCTTAACTCTGTCCCTGTCTTTTATGCAACCAGTCCAAACAGCACTCCCTTTGAAAAACTGTTGACTCCCAGTGTGATATCTGATCACACAAAAACTTGTTATGCTGGGGAAGGGTTGCAAGGAAAAAGGGGGTAATTAAAATGTCAGAATGGAGGTTGTCCAATCAGATACGTGGCATGAGCTGGTAGTTGCAGCGATAATAATCTAGGCTTAAAAACAGCAACTCGTATATTCACCTTTGGCAAATATGAATCACCTCTAAGTCAGAGAAGCATGGCAAGATATTTGTCCATAAATGGGCCACAGTTGTGAGTGAGTGGGCAAAGTGGGGAAGAATTGCTTAGGGTCTAGTAACTTGTGCAGTCCTATTTACAAGACTGTATTTATTTAATTAATTTATAGAAGTATTTTTATACTACCTTCTTACATCAGGGTGGTGCACAGCAAGGCAGAAACATTTAAAAGCTATACAAAGCAACCAATAAAATGACTGGCTATTCAATAAAAAATTAAACAACTGCATAGGTTGTTTTCAAGAGATGCCTGAAAGTCAAAACGAAGATGCCTGCCGAATCACTGCTGGAAGAGTGTTCCACAGCAGGGGACTGATAACACTAAATGCCTGACTTATAGTTGATGCCAGTCAGGCCTCTGTAACCTGGGGGACAAGTAACAGTGCTTCTCTGGGTAATCTCAGTGACTGGACAGGTGGTTCAAATCTCACCCCTCCTCCCTAAGCTCACTCACTCACCAGCACCCACAAAAGATCTCAGCAGTGGCCTCCTTATTAAAGCGATTGCAATGGAGGTGTGGAAGAGGACACGTATGGTTTAGGTGACTGAAGATGTGTTGGGCTGAGTCAGGTGTACCTAAAAGTGCCAACACCTGCAATTGTTTTTACCATAGAGCTTTCGGCATATTAATTTTCATTATTGACCTGATGATAATGGAAGCCGCAGCATTGCCACACACCCTGACCAGCCCAAGTCAAGCTGGCCCAGCTGCAACACAAGATGGGGAGGGCTATGGGGTGACCGCTGCTATTCTGTGGATGACCAGTAGTGCAACTGAGCAGTTTTAGATTATGGACTTTAGGTTTTAAAAGATGGTAATGTATATTATTGTAGTTACTTTTTTTTTTTTTACTATTCTGCTGGGTGCTGCCCAGAGTGGCTGGGGAAACCCAGCCAGATGGGTGGGGTGGTATTATTATTATTATTATTATTATTATTATTATTATACTTTAAAAAAGAAGCCCACACTCCTACATTTATTAACCCTCCTGCTCATTCTGCCAAGTAGGGTTTGGGCCTCTGCCCCAACCCAAAACCAAATAGAAACAGTATTTTGCAGTTTGTTATGTTAGAACTGCAAGTTTGCATTCAGAAATGCATTAAGTAAAGCAGTAACAGCTGTGAACCTATACAACCTATCCACAGAAGAGGCTGCCTGCCACATCCCTTCATGAGTCATAGTTCTGACCCTGCTACCTCTGAATCACCCTTGGGGGTTTTTTCGGGGGGGGGGTGCTGTAATTTTGCCATGCCTCTGTCACAGGTGCAGCTGGACTGATCAGTCACTCCTGACGTTTGAAAGAGTAAGAATGACCAGCCACCCCACAGCCATTAGGAGTCTGTCCACTGCCTCTCTCAATGAGTCACTGCTCTGACTTTGTCTCCTTCCAATCTGGAATTATGCTCAGAGCAAGCCCAAGAATCACAAGATGGGCAATGGCATAGGAATATGTTGTATCAGATGTTAACAGGAAGGAGAAGCAGCCAGACCAGCCAGCTTAGCTCCTCTCGTGGCCCATGTCTTTCTTCTATCTCTCTCCCCCACCCCCTCCTGCAATTCCTTCTGTTGACAGAGACGCCCCCCTTCAAGCGACACTGTGCCTGTAGCTGTTCTTCCTCATCATGGAGACATACCTCCTCTCACTGGGTCAGATTGATTGTCCACCTATCTATACATTGATGGCTGGTACCTGTTGGACTGGTAGGGCAGTAGCCAGAAGACCCAAGAGTTAGAGGCCAATGGCAGGCAGAGCAAACAAATTCCAGCTTCACCCACCCCACCCCTGCTGAGTTCTACAAGGAAAACAAGCTGATAGTCAAGGACTGGATATAAGTAAGAAAGTGGGCAGGTGGGGGCTGAACAAGGATGATGGGACACTGCGTCCAGATCTTGCCTTCTCTGACCAGCAGCTGCTCTCCAGGTTCTCTCTCAGAAAAAGGTCTCACATCGCCTCAGGACTGACCCTTTTAACTGGAGACGCTGGGGACTGAGCTGTGAACCTTTTCCATGCAGATTACGGGCTTTGCTACAAATCTGTGGCTGAGTTTTCATGTTCTCCTGATTTCTTTATCAGACCAGAGGTCTGGAGATCTCAAAAACTTGCTCACAAGTTTATGACATTTTGATTGGTTCCAATAAGCGCATTACAACTTTTTTGGGGGGATTCAAAAGGGCCAACACAGCTACCACCATTTTTAAATGCACAAAACAGAAACCTATTCAGAAATTTTGGGGTGAAGCCACGCTGAAAGCAGGTGCCTCTTACTCTTTCACACTCTTGAGACCTCATCTGTACTATACATTTAAAGTAGCATCATACCACTTTAAAGAGTCATGATTTCCCCCAAAGAATCCTGGGAAGTGTAGTTTGTTAGGGGTGCTGAGCATTGTCAGTCCCTTCACAGAGCTATAGTTCCTGGAGTGGTTTAACAGTCAATCCCTCTTCCCGGGGTACTCTGGGAATTGTAGTTCTGTGAGGGGAATAGGTCTTCCCTAACAACTCTCAGGATTCTTTGGGGATAGCCGTTTAAAGTGAAATGATGCTGCTTTAAATGTATAGTGCAGATGGGGCCTAATTTTTCCCCTCAGTGAGAAGAAGCAAAGAAGACACGGAAATAAATGACTTGGCATATATTGAATGAAATCAGATTGTCTGAGGGGAGAAAAAAGGCATGTGTTGGAGCTGCTAACAAATATTGCGGCAGAAAAAACCTGAGATTAATTTGGACTATTTTGTTCAGAAGAAATATCCAAATAATTTCAAGAATGCTAATGATTTGGGGGAGAGGGCTATGCCCAAATATAACTTTCTACCAAACTTTGCCTAACATAAAGCTTCAAGACATTTTTTTATTTTCTGGCTCAGGTGAAACATCCGGGGGAAAGCAAGAAGTGTATCTATAAAACTAGGGGAAATTCTCACGAGGGCTCCATGCATCTCTAGTAATTACAAGTGTATCCTCAGTGATATTTTGTCATCTGTGAAATGGAACTAAAATGATATTCCCACACCAAAGCATCCGCCTTAAGACTGGTTTGTGAATTACTTTGAAATCTCCACCTGAAAGATGCTACCTGCTCATTATACTTTATCCACACAAAAAAGTGGTGAGAAAAAGGGGGCAGATTCTGATCTCAACGGTGTAAAAATCCAGAGAGACTTCACCTCAGTAACCATACAAGTAATTAAATGCATTTTAATTACAAGCCTTGCGGCTTTACTTACCAACAGTGCAAACAAGGTTGATTGCTGCTGTATTAAATACAAGGATTAATCATACAGTGGAGCTCAGCTGTGTTGCCTGAGCCTTACACAGGAGCCAGAACCTGGTCTGGAAAAGGAAGCAAAAAGAGAGAGGGATTAGTCAGCTGTAGTGCAATTCCCAATTCCATAGGCAATGGCAAAAACTTTCACTGAGGCTAACAGAAGCAGCAGCTGGTCTTGCATTTATTTATTTATTTATTTATTTTCTTGCTTGGAAATATTTAAGCAACATTCCCAAGGCAACATACAAAATAAAACGTACAGTGGTACCTCCGGTTAAGTACTTAATTCGTTCCGGAGGTCCGTTCTTAACCTGAAACTGTTCTTAACCTGAAGCACCACTTTAGCTAATGGGGCCTCCTGCTGCTGCCGCACCGCCGGAGCACGATTTCTGTTCTCATCCTGAAGCAAAGTTCTTAACCCGAGGTACTATTTCTGGGTTAGCGGAGTCTGTAGCCTGATGCGTATGTAACCTGAAGCGTCTGTAACCCAAGGTACCCCTGTACTTTTAATATTTCACAAAGACACGTAAGCCTGGTCAGTTCCAGTGTCCTGATCACAGGAACATTGAGCCATTTTATGTGTGTGATGGTGACCAGGATTGTGTTGACGGAGCAGACAAACATGACTGCAGTTAAGTATCAACCCACCTCTTCCTTAAGGTAAAGGGTAAAGGGACCCCTGACCATTAGGTCCAGTCGCGTGGCCAGCATGACTAAGCCGCTTCTGGTGAACCAGAACAATCCGGGCGAACCAAGACAATTCTCCTTACATGGGTTCAAATTAAGGATGCTTGAGGGTTTTATTTGGTCTGCATTTTTTTTTTTATAATAATTTTTATTAAGTTTTCAATTTTACACTTCAAAATAAACATTTTGCAAACTTTGAAATATTCGATGACTTCCCTTTTTCTCCTTCCATGGTTCATTTTACAGATCATAAATTCCTGCATATTTTACTATAACCATCCAAATCAGTTTTCCACTTTTACTTCCATCAGAAATTATTTACTCTGTTGAATTTATCTTAGTGGGATGCAGTTCACCAAACAGAACATGCATACAAAAAAAATGTGGGGAAAGTGTGCACGGAAATGCATGTTAAAGTGAAAATAATATACAAAAATGCATTAAATTAGGGGAAATTGCTTGCAATAATACATTTATTAGGCAAAATTGTGTAGAAAATGCATATATTAAGAGAAATATGCATGAAAATGCACTGAGATTTCATGCAATTTGTTTAAGGCAAACTGAAATGAGATGAACTGGACTTAAGATGGGGAAAATGAGGGAAGCCAAAATTGATAGATTCAGTCGTCCTTAATCAGGACTAGTTCTTGCATTGCTTGAGTGTCACAACTGTAGGCCATGCCACTCTGGCAATACTTGAAATGTCGTGGTTTCTTCCTATGGCAGCACAACCAGTTGCTAGGAGCCAAAAGCAGTGGCCTGGAAAGCAACCACATCATACATCCCCTGTGGTTTCCTGATTTACAGGTACAGCAAGGAATACATGACCACACAGAAGTGCCAAACCTGACATAAAGTCAACTCAAGAGCTGCCTTCTGTTTCACAGAGTTAACTATGAGCTCGTTAGAGGAAGGTTGGCCTGAAAATGTAAAAATGCATAGAAAGCCACACAAGAGCAAGCTCTGATTCTTTGAGGTGATGATAGAAGTGTAGCAAACAACAACAACAACAACTGTTAGAAGTGCAGTCCAGGGATCACCCAGTTTGTGATTTAAGGGTTAATTCTGTTATCAGTAAGTCAGCTAAGAGGGAGGGGGATGTTGCTTAGCAACCAGGCAGCACCGCATCACTATTGCTGAGATGCCACGTTCTCTGATTAGTTGTGTCCTTCTGAGGAAGTTTCTCATCTGTTTGGTTGTACACGTCCAGCCTACAATGCCTGAACAAAGACAAAAACATCTCTGTTCCTTTCTCCTCAACTTATACACTGTTTTTGTTCAATTATACAAGGGCAGCAACACTGAGACTAAGGAGGAGGACGCTGAGAAGCTGCACCAGCCATTGGGTTGGATGTTAATAAGAAGACAGGCAGGTGGAGACTGGCTGCAGGCAGAATGAGGTTGGTTGGCAACCCAGCTTTTCTTAAAAAAACAACAACAACTTGCTTTAGCATTTGTAGAACCTGAGATACGAGGCAAATGTACTGACACTATTCTTCTTCTCATTTTTGTGAAAAGTGAGGCTGTTCCCCACTTTCAGTGTTTTACTTCAACTCCACCAGAAAAAAAATCCTGCGGATCCCCATGGTGGGTGGTGCAGTGTCCCACTCATCCTAAAGGACCAGCCTCCACTGCTTTGGGATGTTTGGAATAGTTTGTCACATGCGCCAACATTTCAGTGGGTGGCCCCTAGTACGACTTCCCTGCTTCCATTTGCTCACCTAAGCACAACCTGCCCATTTGGTTTCCTGCAGCCCAGATGATTCAAGCGTGCCTACTTTCACCAACAGCTGCTTGCTGAAGGCCCATTCATATTTCAACAACTGGATCAAGGAGTTGCTTTCTCAAGATCTCTACCCAGTAAATCTGGGAGATTACTTTGGAGACTGTAATCAAAGTACACGCATCGGGCTTTGAAAAATAATAATACCGAGGTCTTGCACAACACCTCTATCACTCCTTTGCAAGCCTTAGTCAGGTGGTAAATATCATTCTTGAGCAAGACCTCAGTATTAGAATAATAATTAAAAACCACATGGAAATGCAGGCCCCCTCCCAAAGGCATCCATCCAAAAGCAGAAGCCTCCATTTTGCATATTGTGAGCAATTTTAACCAAGGCTTGGTTATTTGTTCTTGCACACTTTCTGTTTTTGTTTTTGTTTTGAAGGAGAGACAGAAGCGATGGAGGGCACGCAAAAGATACTGGATACATTCCATCAAGCTCCACCCACTGGCTCAGTTGACATAAGGCAGAATAGCAATGAATATTCATAACTGGGGAAAAACAGGTATATGTGGAAGCCCAAATGCACACACGGCGGGGGGGGGGGATCAGATCTGAACGACCCATTTGCAGTATAAGGCCCACACCAGGAAGCACACCTTTGCTCCATTTCTCTGTATCAACCATATTAGTTTATCTCCCCTCCTTTGGCCTTATACCTTATTGTATGACACTTGTCTTCCTTGCTAACTGTTAACAGCATTTGTTAAAAACGTATATAAATAATATATGCCTTGTATTTACAAAGAAAAATACTAGCACCCCACTGTACAACTTGTATGTTGATGTTTTGTTGGACGGCTCTGGCAGGGTTCCTCTTATGTTCTTAGGGATCAGATGTAGTCAATATGGTGCCATCCGGAAGTTGTAGGACTCCAACTCCCATCAGCCCCAGCCAGCGTGGCCAAGGGTCAGGGATTATGGAAGCTGTAGTACTCCAAAATCTGAAGGGCACTACACTGGCCAGCCCTTTTAAAGATGTTTTGATAGAGAGCATTACACCACTTACTGGATGAGAAGTCTGCCAACGACTATGAACTATGATGGAAACCCCATGTTTAGAGGCAGTATAGCTTCTGAGTATCAGATGGAAGAAAGCCTGTGCTTGTGAAGTACAGATGCATGTATTTCCTCCAATTCCTTGTTAATAATGCATGACACACATTCCAACTTACTTAACATGCAAAAACTCTTATCTGCCACCAACACCCTCTCAGTAATCTGCAAGCCCATCCATGAGATACTATTAAGAAGAGGGCTATTTTCTTGTACTGCTTGAGGGCTTCCTGGTGGCATGTGACTGACTACTGTGGGAAAGCTTGACTAAACAGACTTTCAACAAAGCTTTTCTTATGTTCTTTGTTATGCGGTAAGCTTGGATCCTAGAACAATAGGCGAGTAGGATCCTAGAATGCAGCAACTGATTGGCTTGCAGGAAAAGACCAGTCAGGCTCCAGGAGGAAGTTAATCAGCCTGTTAGGCTGGTAGGATCCTAGAATGCAACAACTGATTGGCCTGCAGGAAAAGACCAATCAGGCTCCAGGAGGGAAGCAGAATCAGCCAATCAGACGGGACTCATTGTGTAAATATGTATATAAAAGCTTGAGGTTTGGGGGGTAATTCAATCACTGTTTTACAAGCTGGAATAAAGAGCATGAAATCACTACAGGACTCCGAGTATACAGTGGATGCTCGGGTTGCGAACATGATCCGTGCGGAAAGCATGTTCATAACACGCAGCGGCGCATCTGCGCATGTGCAGGTTGCGATTCAGTGCTTCTGCACATGTGCAAAGCACGATTTAGCCCTTCTGCACATGCGCAAGCGCCAAAACCCGGAAGTAACCCGTTCTAGAACTTCTGGGTTCGGCGCAGCGCGCAACCTGAAATCGCACAACCCGAAGCATCTGTAACCCGAGGTATGACTGTATTTCATTCTTAATTAACTGAGAGCTGTAGTTTGTCCTCTTTCACTTCGTTCATTCCTTGGATATGGGCTTTGCTCATATTAATAATCTGAAGCACGCTACCTTAAAAGACTTTACCACTCTGGGGCAACAGTGCAAAGAAGCTCACACAAAACATTCAGACCAGTTACAAAGCCCTGTGGCCCCTAACTGCACTACAAAGAGAGAGAGAGAGAAAAGAAGCAGCAGCAGCATTTTAATTTGTTTGTTTATTTAGATGCATAATCTGCCTGACCCTAAGGGTTAGTAGCAGATAAACGAGCGTGGTAAAGCAGAAGCTATAAAAGAAGATTTAAAAGATTAACTAGATGTCTAAATTAAAATACACAATTAAAAGGAATCCTTTATTAGCCTTGATAGACATTTAGAAAAGATCATGTGTTGCTTTTTGAAGGTGCTCTGTTTCAAATGCAACACCAGAGAAAAGAAAAATCCAAAATGGCAGAACAGCCACCAAAAAGTCTCTGCATAGCTTTGTAGTTTCAGTGCTACACTCAAATGACAGCAAACTCGAGGAGGTACTCTTGGTTGTGTCTCAAATTGTGTCTGCACTGCACAGCTCGAGACCCAGTAATCCCTGAGCTCTAGTCGACTTTATTTTATATTTACAAGTTCCCAGTTTTAGGAAGCAATGCATGCAATTAGACCTAAGTCTCTGCTTGCTTGCTTGCTTGCTTGCTTTATTTCTCTTTCAAAAAATTAGCCAGAAATGTTTCCAAATGCTGGTGCTCCCAAGATACATGAAGGTCCTTAAGTATTTTCCAATATTTTTCCAATCTGAAGTTATTAATAAACAAACAAAAATTACTCATGAAATTTTATGAGCATTTAGTGCAATCTTATCCTGATATATACAATTTAAAAATCTACGCAAAATCATTTTCCAAAGCCATTTTCAATAATATAATGCATTTTTTATGCTATTCTCACCAATAAATGCATTGTTTATGCACACTGCATCCTAGTATTTCTCCCTAGCTGATACAAAGCTGAAAAATAAGTTTGTGAGACAGCTATGCTCATAACTACATAATCTCGCTTTTTACAACAAAAATGCATATCTTCAGCCATATTCTGGTAATTCTTCAACTACTATTATTTATTTTAAGTAAGTAAAAATATAAGCTTCATTCCTGAGTAAAGTTGCTAGCCAACACGTATTTTTTCTGGTTTCATCAATAAAACTATGATCTGTCACGGGTAACCAGTATGTGTCCCATCAGGTAAGCTGTAAAATCTAGATTCTGTCCTGGTGCTCCCCAACATTGGCCAGATTCCATCTTGGCCCCATATCCTGGCTCCATCAGTGGTTTTGAAACCAGAAGTTAGCAGAAAGAATGGAAGGGAAAACTGATTCAGTTTGCATTTGAAGGAGAACCTACTTAATTTGTACTTTCCAAAATAATGCACAGCCCTCCTTCAGAATTTCCATTTCTCCAAATTTTGCAGTGCCATTTGCAAGTCGAATAATGTGTACCATTTTAGGGTAAGGTAAACTCTGCATGGACGCGGGTGGCGCTGTGGGTAAAACCTCAGTGCCTAGGACTTGCTGATCGTAAGGTTGCCGGTTCGAATCCCCGCGGCGGGGTGAGCTCCCGTCATTCGGTCCCAGCTCCTGCCCACCTAGCAGTTCGAAAGCACCCCTAAGTGCAAGTAGATAAATAGGTACCGCTTTCTAGCGGGAAGGTAAACGGCATTTCCGTGTGCGGCGCTGGTGCTGGCTCACCAGTGCAGCTTCGTCACGCTAGCCACGTGACCCGGAAGTGTCTTCAGACGGCGCTGGCTCCCGGCCTCTTGAGCGAGATGAGCGCACAACCCTAGAGTCGGTCACGACTGGCCCGTACGGGCAGGGGTACCTTTACCTTTACCTTTAAACTTTGCATATATTAGTGAAAATAACTTACACAAATATATGAGGGGAATTGCTCTGAAAGAAAATGTGTTCCTTAGGAGAAATTCACTGTGAAATGCTGATGAATTTTCATGAGTAGAAAAAAATCACAAACTGGCGTAAAAATGTGAATAATTGAAGACTGGGAAAATGAGAAGGCCCAAGAAACTCAAATGGATAAATTCACTCATCCCTGTCTTCTGGAAATCCAGAGTCCAAAGCTAGTACTTTCTCCACATCATTCACACATTTTAGACTGCTGCTACTTGTGATGCTCATTTAAGCGCCTACCTCAAGAGGCTGCGGCCTACTTGCTCCCATCTCTCTCCAGCTTGGCAATGATTATTGTTTACCTTTCAGGGGCTCTTTTTCTCTCCTAAAAAAAGAAAAAGAAAAGGGGGGAAAGATCATGGAACACCCAGGCTTTAATGTATGTAATGAAACTGATACAGTAATTTTATTCCTGGGTCATAAATGGAATGGGCTGTAAAGTAAAGTTGGGTGTTTTTTTGAAACCAGCCTCAAAGAACGAATTGTTCCAAAGGGTCTGGTTAATGAGACAGTGAAACGTATATGAGGTTCATGTCGAAGAGAGACCAGCTCTTGGTCGCTTTTCCTTCCTAAAAGATCTGTGCTCCCTCTCTCTAAAAAAAGCCAAAATAATATATATTCCTCTCTCCCTCCCTCTCGGCCTCCTCAAAACACACAGCCTTCGAGCAGCAGGAGTCGCGAGCCCTGAATTCATTTCTGGTTAACAACTTGTGTGGCCTTTGTGAGAGGCATTTCCCAGCTCTAGCCCTCATTTCCCTTATTTTGGAACAAAAACGGGTAGCAATCCTTAAGCATTCCCAGAAGAGGGGATCAATTAGGAACCCCTCCCCATGTGCTTACACAGAGAAGAAATGGACGAGAGGAGAAGGAGGAGAACGCCGCAGCCATGCACATAGTCAAAAGAGATGGGCGCCATGAGCACGTAGTGTTACGGTCTCAATTTGGACTTCGTCAGCCCTGCTGCGATCACCATGAAAGTGATCCAGGGCCTGTAGAGTGGGGTTACTACTGTAGAACTGGATACTCTTGACTGCTGAAACAGCAGCAACCCTGACAACCAAGTACCCTGACTATGCTATCCCCGCAGCAAGAAATGCTGTCCCCAACCTGCACAAGAAAGTATTCAGCGAAAAGGGAAGGAGTGAAGCAAATCTTTCTATGGCATGCACACTCAGGAATCTTCCTACTGTCCCATTTTGCACTGAGAGGCACAGCCTCTCACTGGGTGGTAAGTGGGCTTGCACGTTCCTATGACCCTTGTGAGCGAAGCCGTCAGGAGTCTTGTATATTTAATACTTTGGCTCTGATAAATACCAAAAGAAGAAAAAGAATAAATTCTGTGGCACCAAAAACAGGTTCTGGAATAAGCTCAGGCATGGATCATGACCAGTTTAGTCTTACATTTATGAAACATTACAGGGGGAACTCCTATGACAAATGGAGCAATGTTTATGCAAAATCAAAAAATTTTCAGCTAAACTGTCTGTCAGAGTGAAAAGGCAACACTGTCCATGCCAAGAGGTGGAAAAGGGTGCGCCAAGCTCTGGGCACATTTTCATTCACAGTGATTTTTATCTAGCAATCTTTTATTCTGGATCATATGCTCTGTAGAGAAAGGCCGTAGCTAATGATTTAGAGGAGACCAAAACTGGTTACAGAATCTGGGCCTGTGATGCCGTGTAATGGGGCTGGCCTTATCTCATTGTTTCAAAGAGGTACTTTAAGATAATGCTCCAAACTGTCCAAAATGGGCTGAATTGAACTTACGCAACAATTTCACAAGCTCATCGAAAAAATCTGGGAGAGAGGAGATCACAACAGACTTTAGAGATGCCAAAATTATCAATCTCTTTTTTTTTTAAGTGATAGAACGGATTGCGGAAACTATCAAGGCATTTCTTTACTAGCTGTGGCTGGCAAAATTCTTGCAAGGATCTTAGCAAACCATCTCCTAACAATATCCGAGGCTACTCTTCCTGAATCCCAAAATGGTTTTCTACCTTCTAGGGGGACAGTGGACATGATTTTCTCCAGCTCAACAGCTTCAAGAAAAATGCAGAGAGCAAAACCAACCCCTGTATATGGCATTTATTGACCTGACTAAGGTCTTCAACACTGTAAATCGTAATGCCCTGTGGACATTCCTTTTGAAATTTGGCTGCTGTCAGGGAACTGCCATCAGTGCTGGAGGGAGAGAGCAAGATCCAGAGGGATTCCAGAGAGCGTCCCGGGATTGGGAGAGGCAGCCCATCTTCTGGGGAAGAGAATCAGCGTAGCACCAGTGGAGAAGGGGGGCAGATGGGGGAAGCGGCGAGGCGGTCCCATGACTCCTTGCCGGGGACCAGCGGGGAGAGTAGGGGTCCTCCGCTGCCTACGCCCTCCTTGCGCAGAAGGCTTTCGCGCAGAGAGAGTAGGAGGAGACTAGGCGTCTTCTTTGCTGGAAGAAGTTTAAGAAACGCCCACTGACGGATTCTGCCAGCGATTGAGACAGCCACGGGTGAGTGGCTGTCCGGACAGAAAAGGTTCACTCAGGCAACCCAGCCAGGTGTTTGCACCGGCTTACGCACGAGCAAACCCTAGAACCACTACAGCAATCCGTCAGTCTCTGACGTTGCTTGTGTGCAGCCCAGGAGAGGCAGCATGATGAGCCAAACAGGGCCGGCCGGAGAGACAGAGCAAGAAGCCATGGTGCGAGGTCTGGTCGAGAGGAACCGAGACCTGGAGGCGCATGTCGCTACCCTGTCTGCGTG